GGTGCCCTCTGCTGGCATGCAGGCACAAGACTGTATACATAATAAATAAATAAATAAATAAATAAATAAATAAATAAATAAATAAATAAAATCTTTAAAAAAAAAAAAGAATGCTGAGTTCTGCCATTTCTTCCAAGTTCTCCCACTTGGTGCAGGTGGTGTGGGTGTGTGTGGGGGGGTGTCTGTGTCTATGTGTTCATGTGTGTGTGCATCAAACACTAAATGCATGTAACGTTCAGTAAGCCTGGTTGGATTCTAAGACCTAGAGGACCGACTTCGAGGTAGAGAAGTATTGTGTACTGACTGACAACTGGAGCTGTGCATGAGGAGTTGAGGGAATCCATAAAGGGGCTGTCTTCTCTGACCCCAAGAGCTGCCTTACAGGTTACAACCTGTCATCAGAGCTAACCCTGACCGGGCCTTCCAGTCCATTGGCTTGACCACCCTGGCCGAAGAGTGAGGCTACAGCTGTGCATGTCCAGAGCAGGAGTGAGTACAAGACACCTAGGGGGAGGGGAGATTGTTTTCTTCCCAGCTAGAGCTGTAGCCCTCTGGATGCCCATATGCAAGCTTTCTTCTCTCTGTGGCTGCTGCTGAAAGTGCAGCACCATCTTCCCACAGAGCACCTAGAGCCCCTCGGTGAGAGAAATGTAGCATTCCATCAGCACTAACCTTCCTGACCCGGGCAGGATGGGGCAGCTATTAGCCATGGAGATTTCGAGTTTCTCCTGCTCACTGACAGTGGCACTCAGCGTGTACAGAATCTAAGGGACCCTGGCTCCACAAAGTGCTAACCAGCTGGTCAGGAATCCTACCTCTGTGTAGGGCTGGGAAAATGGATGGTTACTGGGCCTGAAAGTTCTAGAAGTATGCTGAACCAGCTAACCAGCACTGTGTAAGGACTAGGGCTGGGAACATGGAGTGTTGCTTTCTCCTTGAAGTGCCCTGGAAACAGAATGTTTGCAGGGACAATGCCTGTGTCATTGAAACCCAGCCTCCACCTAACCACAGCTGCTGCCTCCTGCCTCTTCTTGGTCAAGGACTTGAATTCTCTCTTCTATTTGGAATCTTCCTACCTGATCTGAGATATCTCCACTAGACTCTCAATGGAAAATCTCTGCTCCTTGGGGCTACAGAAGTGTGTTTGACCTTGGGGGCATCAATGTCCCTTCCACTGTACCCTACAAGGTGCAGGTGTGGTGCAGCCCTCTTTCTCAGGCTACAAATTCAGTCCTTAAGCTAAAGTACACTTGCATGGACTGGAATTAGCATCACAGCTCTGCCTTTTGTCCTTATCATAAGCAAGAGATCTGGGGCTGTGCCTATGTTTCTCTCTATATAGGTTCTATACCCACTCTGGGGAAGGATTTCTTATAGTCAGAGAGCTAAGATGGATGGTAAAGGGCTTGGCAGGAGCTAGGACCAGAGTGTGAGCAACAGCTATTGCCTTCTCCACTAGACTGTAAGTCACTGGATGTTAGCCACACCCAGAACCTGACACAAGGCTTAGAACAGAGAAGTTCCAGTAGTGACAGTGACTCTCCTGTTGGGGGCGCTATACAGCCTTGGACTCAGGGGACCACTAAAGGTGAGGAAATTCTGGGTCATCCTTCAGTTGTAAAGGAGGGGCAAAGCTGCCCCTTGAAGAGCTATCAGAGAAGAACAGACCAGGAGCACTGGTCCACTTTGCTGGACTAACCAAGTCCAACCGTTGAAAGAACATACATTGTGACCTCTTGCTGGGCCTATGCATAAAAAGTAAAAACACAAATGTGAGTTTCAAGAACACAGTCTCTGCAGTTGATCCACCTGAGGGCTTAAGGGATGAGACACCCTTGGCTCCCTGGTTTCCTCAAGGCTGCCTTAGGGGCTCCATGGGAGAACCAGTATTAAGAAAATAACAAAAGCTGTTTGGAGCAGGTGTGTGTGTGTGTGTGTGTGTGTGTGTGTGTGTGTGTGTTTTGTAGAAAGCACACACACACACACCCACACACACACACCCACACACACACACCCACCCTTGGCTTTCTGGGACCAGCAGCATGGAAAGTTTCACCCTCAGACCCTGGCTGGGGGCAGGGGGTGGGCAGGGGTTGGGCAGGGGGTGGCAGGGAATCAGACTAGCCATGGATTGTGCAGGTCAATCCAGAGGCAACTCTGGGGACATCCTTTCCTTGATCACAACTCTCTGCTCAGTGCAGGACACCCAGTACACAAGCAGGGACAAAGTCATGGGCCAAGAGAAGTTCAGGAAATCTGGGCCAGCAGGAAGGCATGGGACTGAAAGCCCTGAGTGAACCTACTCTCTCCTGCTTGGCATCTCTGGAGATTGGGTGTTTGAGGCTAACCCTAAACACCACTGTGCTGTAGCAACAGAGAAGGCAGCTGACTGGCAGCTGGAGTTGGGGCAAGTACTTGATGCAAAAGAAGCCATTTTCTTCCATCCAAGAGCCTCAATGTTCATCGCTACAAAGGGAATAGGTGGATCAAGCCAGGCCCCCCATGCTACAGCCTTCGGAACAGGCTCCAAAATGAAATGTGTTGAAACACACAAAGTCTGAATTGAGACACTTAACTCCCTCTACTAGGTCCAGGCAGAATAAAAGAACTCTGGAACTAAGAGTAACAACTGGAGGGAAGGGTGGCTCGCCAAGGAAGAGGAGCAAACTAGCCTGTTCAGGCAGCCTGTTTCCCTCCAAATTCCTCCCAAGTCCTCCTATGTCTACCCTGAGCAGAGCTCCTTTCCTCAGGACTGAGACCAAAGTATAAAATAGCAATATCAATCAATACTTCAGGGTACTTGGCTTTAGACAAAAGTAGGGAAATCTGTTAGATATTTTGATGTAGCAGTCAGATAATTTGGGGAAACCTAGATTTGGGGAGGGGTCTCATGCCTCTACTGCACTCAGAAAGATGGCTGTGAATTTGAAGCCAGTTTAGTCTACATAGCAAGTTCCAGGCTAGCCAGCAAAACATCCTGAGATTTTATCTCAAGAAAACAAGTAAATGAAACAAGACCTAGATTTGTGTCTCACTTGTCAGAAAAATTCAAGCCTGTGGGGTTTTTTGTTTTTGTTTTTGTTTTCTGGAAATACTGCTACAGGTGTCCCTCTATCTCGCTCCCTCCCCCTTTTCTCTGATTGAGAGCTTCATTCCCCATGCTCACTTGTGCTCACTCAGATAAAAGGAGGCTCAAGTCCTATATATTCCAGAAAGATGTCGTTTTACAGATTGCACCTGACTTATTGGGAGCTAGAGAAGAAATAAAATGCAGAAAACTCGCCACCACCAAGTCTACAAGACATTCTTCGGGTGGCCACAAAGGCACAGAGAAAGAACTACTACATTGCTAATTTTGATTTTTTTTTTTCAATGAGTTGTTTTCCTTTATTAGGGCAAAACAGCTACCACCGTTGTGTCAGAGCATTGGGACTTGCAATAAAGTCACTAAAAGGCGATCTGGATTAAAACCCATGAGGTACCACTGAAGCACACAAAAGCAGTAGGGAGCAGTTTAAAGTCAATGCGGGCTGGTCTGGTGCAGGCGAGCCCCACCGGGGAACGTGGAACGTTTCTAATAAACTCGCTCTTCCCCAACTCCAGGCCTTCCTTAACCAAGTGGCTGAGAACTAAATCCAGGCAGACTGGAAGGCGCATTACCTGCCTCATTATTCCACTGTGTGAATGCTGGAGTTTTAATTACACACTTGCTTTTTCTGGGGAAGACCAAAGATCGTATTTTTTAAAGTATCAACTTGTTTTCCATTAGGCAGTTGTTGTAACAAGTTCTTTCAGCGACATGTTATGTCTTTAGGAAGGGATGCTTCAGATGGCGCGCACTAGCACAATTTTGTGGCTTTTAATTACTATTTTGTTCTTTTGGGGGGTTTCAGAGGCTGGCGCCTGGGCGTGATTAGACTGTCTACCAGGCTTGTGGCAACCTCATACACTGTCCACCAGGTGGCATCACGAAGCAGGCGCTATCGCAGAATCTTCGGACTTG